TCGAGAAAAGAGAAAATCGCACCGAGTTTATCTGTACACCTCCCCTCACGAACAGCACGCCCTCAGTACACGATCCAGACCAACACCATAGGGGCTATGACCCTTGCACTGACTGACCTCTTCCAGGCACTGTTTTGAACTCGCTGCCGTAGCTGAATGTCCGCAGGTTGCTTGGGAACGTAACCCCTCCCAGAGCTTGCTCGAACGGATTGCGGTGGACCCACGATCAAGATGCCATGTTTGCACTTGTCCAAAACCACAGGGACTATGACCCTTGCACTGACTAACCATTCCAGTCGTCGGTTGGACTCGTTGCCATAGCTCACTGTCTGCAGGTTGTTTGGAAGCGCCACCCTTTCCAGACGCTGCTCGAACTGATAGTCAAAGTCCAATGTTCGCTGGTCGATGACAAAGCACAACTGACAAGTCAGAAACAGCAAATGAAGTGCATAATACAACGCATGCAGCTTCCAGTGCTCGGACGTAACCTTCTCGGAAGCGGGAACAGTTGGCGAGAGGAGTCGCAGAACCATGGCTCAAGCACAAGACTCGGGTTTAGGGTTTAGGGTTTACTGAGGGCGTGCTGTTCGTGAGGGGAGGTGTACAGATAAATTCGGTGCGATTTTCTCTTTTCTCGAGGTGTTCCAAGGTGCTAATTTGGTGCAATTCCCGACGCTGAGTTCAGATGTGACTAAAGGTACTAATTGGGGGCCGAGGCGTTTTTCCTGCATAAAAGGCGCGCCGAGGGTCCTGTTCACTCCAGTTCCCTGACAGAAGCTCAAGGCAGAGGGGCTCTAATGGGCCAGTGGGCTGGATCGAAAAGTCCGCTATCCTCTCTCAAAAAAAACCTATCAATCAATCAATCAATCAATCAATCAATCAATCAATTTTCCGATATATCCCTGTATGCCCTTATACCACCCTGATTGATAGGTTTAGGGCTTAGGGTTAGGGGCACGTATGGCGATCATAGGGTTTTATCGGGACGTGTTGGGGCTAGGGCCTGGGGGAAAATGGACAATCATATGGGACGATGAAGTGGAAGTTGGAATAATATTGGGTTTAGACTTAGGGCTGGGCAGGCAGGTTACAGAATATCGGTGTATTCTACAGGGTAGTACCTGGTTATAGCTCGGGCTTGTCCCTACCTCAGCTTCCTAGGCTTCTTCGTTCACATGACCCGCGAGTGGAGAGTTTCCACCAGCGATGAAGGGGAGGAAGAAATGCTGCTGCATGTCTTACACTCACTCCGACGGCCTTCATTGTTGCAGGAATGTTGCAAGCGCCTTGGCTTGCCCTTCTCCTACACCCATGCCCAATTAGTGCTGCTTCTAATTTTTGCGGAGTGAAGGTGGCCAACGCCAACCTGACACCCCCTTCCTGCCACAAAGCTGTCAAGACGTGACGTTCATGAGCCACAGCCATGCCAGAAAACTACACAAACACAGCATCAACCGTAGCAACAAAAAAAGCTTCAAACGCCGATGCTCACAGCAGCAAAGATAGCTGCAAGAGGCTGCTAGCAATGCCGGGGAATGCATTTTATCTAGCAAGCCCTACGAATCTCGGATTATCGTCGTGAACATAGATATCATTCACTTAATGGGGGTTAGTAGGGAAGAAGGGAATCTAATCCCTATATAATGCCAATCTTGCAGGGTTGTGAGCTCGTTGGCTGGCCCCGCTTCAATTCAACACCCCCGCGTGGCCGAAGCGGATGGCAAGGTCCGGCGATTAAAGAAAGTCCCACTAGCCAAGTCAACATTTACATGTCTGCCACAACTCCTTTTCATCGACTTCCTTTAACAGGCTTGACTCATTACCATACAAGGATGAAGCCAAAGTCATGAAAGAGAAGAAAAACGCACATCAGCAAACACACATTGAACCATACGCACCGCAAAGAAGATGCCACAATGCACAGCAACACGAAACCCGTCTCAGTCACATACCCTGTCAGGGTGTAGAGCTAAGAACATCTGGTGGATCTGGAAGTTGTACTCCACGCCAATATGTCTCCATGGAGCGTCGGCATAGTATCTGCTCAAGTAGTCCTGAATTCATCTGTAAAAGAAGCGGACTTCTCAACATGCCCCCTATGTCTTGGGTCCGTAAGGGTATCCCTATCTTGATAAACTATGATACTCTTCTAGATCTAATCACCTCCCCCTAATATAACCCCAGTGGTATGTTAGATCATATTGGGACGTCGATTATCAGGGGGTGGGGGTGTTAATATTAGAGGGAGGGGATTCATTAACACCATCTGAGAACGAAGAAAGCCTGACTCCCCACAGCCTGTCCTGCTCAGGGCCGTTTCCCACACAATGCCTGAGCTTGCAGGACTAAACCCTAACCCTGCAACCTTACTCTATGTACTCAAAACCGTCTCACAACAAAAAAGTTTGCTCTACTCATTGCTGCTGGAGCTGCTCTGGGTGATGGGGATCAGACAGTTCACTGAGCATCTCGTGAAATACATCCAGGTCGGGCTGCAGGAGCATGACCCCTGCGTTTATTCCTGTCAAGAGTTGTGCTTTCTTGTGCAAGAAGAAGGTGTTTCAGGAGCAACACGCATATTTCTGGGCCTGTGCCCTGGCCCCAGGACCAGCCGCTGAAATCCCGGCCCATGAAGAAGTCTCGGCCATCCAGGACATCACCTCCAGAAACAAGTTGATGCCCTGCAATAATCATAGGCGAATTGTAACCCCCCTAAACCCAAGCCCATCACCCTGGCAATCAATATCCTGGGGAATAGCTTAAACAGTAATGTCCACTTAGTCCACTTTTATGCCCGTAGTTGAACAACCCCATTTTCTTGCTATGATAAAAAGCTTATGAAATGTATACGTTAATGGGATACCATTTCGTTCAAAGTCCCCATTTGGTCGGTGATGGTTCAACACTGAACCCTAAACATAATTGAAGTTTACTTATGGATTCCTTCTTCTTTTGATAACTTGCCAGTGCTCAATAGGAAATACGGGAATACAATCCCTGTAAAGTACATAACCTTATCCCCTACTAACCCCTAGTAAGATAGTGTCGCCAGAGGCCGAGCCTGTCTTGAGTGACCTCCACTCGTGCATCCCCCGTCGCATCGCAGCCGGGGCTTGCAGCTGAAACAGCTCATCGACATTGCCGCGCCTCAAGACATCAGAGGAACAGTAATCACTGTTAATGAAACTGAAGGATGGTACGTAAGAACCATATCAACCATAGAAAAAGTGAAAATAGTGCGCTGGAGAAGGAACATAAGAATAGAGATAAGGACGACAGGCAACAAAGACCTACAGGGCTTGATCGGCGTGCAGTTAGCTGCAAGCACACGTAGCCCCGGGCTTTCTACGCCAATTTCTATGGAAAGTATCTCAGAAGGCACCTGACTATCCAAATCAGTTCAAGATGCTACCCTAAACCCATGACCCTAAGCCCTCAACCCATGATTATCCATGAGTATCCAAACCAATCCAAGACGCACGAAAATGTCGATGTCGAGCACAAGGATCTTCTCAAACTCCACCTTGCAGGGAGCAGGTGCTGGTTTTCGGCATCTTGGGGACTGCCAAAGGAACCTTAACCCCTGATATAAGCCATAGTCCAAACTCCTTGTTAGGGGGTTATGCAGGGAGTTCTCAAGGGGAGTATTATTGGGGTCATTAAGGGGGATACTGGGAGTGTAGGCTATAGCTCAGATGGGTAGAGTTTAAGTCAATTCCATCCACCACCAGCTTCCTGTTCGTGCCAGCTCAGCTTCTCCCACGAACACTCAGGCTCCGCTCAATAAAAGCAAGTTTCTCGTTGATTCCGAACTACGAATACCATACCAGGCTCAAAGGCTCCCATGCTGCGCAAGGGAGAACACGGTGGCTGTTGCAACATGATTCCCTGGCAGGCCCTGTTTGGAGGCCTCATTTGATTCTCCCAACTAAGCCCAGAATCCCCAGACTTGAAAGGTCCACATCCAGCAGAATCAAAAAAACCTCCAACTAAAAGATTGAGATCCTTCGCGCTTGAATCCTGAACCAAGGAGTGTGAAACAAAGAGGCATGAATCTTGAAAACCTTTTTGTTGCATCTGGGCTTGAAAACCCGAAACCCTACATAGCAGTTTCCATCTCATTTTCCATTATCCCAATATAATCCCGAAATAATTCCTATCTACTTAAGGGGGACTATAAACCCTAAGCCCCAAACAGTAGTTTCCATCTTATTTTCCATGATCCCAATATAATCCCTGTAATATCCCTATCGTATCCCTAAATCCTAAATCCTAAACCCTTTCACAAGTTCCGCCAGCTCCAGAGCGCGCAACTTTGTGAAGACTTTGGCGAACCGGTGTCCTCAGGGGTTTAAACACGCTCGTCGCACAGCAGTGCAGGCATGGCAAAGAGTGTCCAAGCGTCCAGTCAGGGGGGCTTAGGGTTTAGGGTTTAGGGCACGCTGAATCTTAATGGGAGGCTGTCAAGCAGGGTTTAAGGTTTAGGGCAAATCAGGGTACCTTTCTGGATTCCCGGTGCACCACCAAAAAAGGACAATGAATTTGACTGCCATTCAGATGGATTTTGATCTTTCGACCTGGGATGGGTTATGTGCAGGGGTTGCAGATGCAATAGGGGCACGCAGAGGTGTATGAGTTTACGGGAGAGCCATCTGCGGAGCAGCGCAAAAACACAGGAGTTGAAAGCATGCATACAGAAGCTTGGTTTGAACGCGGTCAGGGCTAAGACGGTTTCTCAAAGCGCTCGATGATCACGAATCTTGGTCCTGGGGAAGCGTTCCCGAGCTTGTCAGCTGCCACGTCGATGTGTTTCACCGGACGGCAATCCCATATTTTGGACAGCAGAGCTATGCAGGCCGGAGGGACATCGTCGGCATAGAGACAGACTCCTGGGCTGACGTTAAGGAACTTGGTTTAAATTACCATATTGGGGTTTAAGTTACCATCTTGGGGAATTCATAATATTTACTATACATACCCATCATGGTAAGTTAACTTAAGTTCCGTAAATCCCTATATTCCCCCAGTTTCTATCTAATTTTCCATGTTCTGATCCATTTGATTCTCCATCATAGGGGGATAAACCCTAAACCCTAAACCGCAGTATACCATATTGTAGTTTCCATGTTCTTTTCCAGTTATCCCTATACAACTCCCATATTACCTTATGTCACCCCTAATAAACAGCAACATAATGGATACATATATATATATAAT